ACTTCGTGCTTAACACACAACTAAAATTTCAAACTCAAGTGAAATTTGACACACTTTTTCCATAAATTAAAATTTTCGAAAGCATCCATTCATTAGGTTGTTCACCCGGGGAATTCCCCAATTTCCCCTACCTGGGTCCGGCACTGCTTTTCCACAATAGTTTTTCATTGAAAACGGCCTCAAGCTCAATAAAAATTGTTGAATATTTATTAATTTTTTTATTTTTATTTTATATGTGTACGTTTACACAAAAGAATATGTAATTGTATTTGTTGTTGCGATAAAATAATGAATGGCTTTGGTAAGTGCGTGGTGTTACACTGACCGAGGTCATAGTGCGAGCGTAAAGTCCCTGTGTAGTTTGTCCTGTGTTGAAGTCACCTAACCCCCACCTACTCTTCAGTCTAGTGTGGCATGTCAACCGCCAGTGCCGTAGGTCCAACACAGTTACCCCCATTATCCCCTGTGAAGACTGACTATGAACCTCACTAGTGTGCGATGCTGGATCCCACACCAGGTAGCTCATAGCTTGCCTTCACTAAACCTAAAACAACAAAAGCTCATTTTGATACCACAACTTCGTATCCCACTTCATCAGTGCATCGAAACAACAACGAAGGCACTTGGGAGTTGTGGTGTTCACTCCCCCCAGCGTCACCTAAAGCTTTTGCTGAAAAATCGTCATTTTACCCTGAAAAAATCGTATTTTCGAAAAAAAAACGTCAAAGTTTTGTTTATTATACTTTTTTAACAAAATAAAATATAGAAACAAAATTACATACAATAAATATGACAACACATTTCAAAACCAAAGGGAACTCACATTGTATATGGGTTAATACAAGTGGATTTGTGATTGTTAACGACAATTTTAAATTACACTTTAAAACACAACTGCTTTTAAATTGTTCAACTCCACTGGCTTGAAGTTTTTGAAGAATTTGAAAGTGTAACATTAGCATTTACTAACTGATAGATAATCTTGACTGAACACATTCCCTCTGCTATTTTTCTGTCTCTTTCAAATCAGTGTCAACATTGCAAATTAACGATTTGGTTACAATTCTAGAACAAATTTAATATAACTATAAGCACGGTTGTAGAACAAAACTACTTAGATAAATGCATGGTTGTACTTTGGATTACGTTTTACTTCAAACATTTTTTTACATATATTATATTACGGACGAACTGATTCTATCAGTACAGTACTGCTTTTTCAACTCTTGTACTGATTTTATTCATTTCTTCAATCAGTACGCTAATGTTCTGATTTTTCAAAATTTGTACTGATTTGTACTGAATTTTTAAATGAAATGGGCCATTTTGAAAAGAATTGGACCAATGGACCAAAAGGAAAGAAATGGACCAAAAGAAAAGAAATGGACCAAATTTGGTCCATTTGGACAAAAGCGGCAACCGTGGCCACAATCCTGAACCGATCGACCAGGACTCTTATTCCCTATAAATACAGTTTCTTTGGTTCTGGCGTTGCATTATTTTGAAGTATTTTCTGGTATTATAAGCAATGTAGCTTTGTGGAACAGTCCGTAGAGCTGGATGACGTAACTTGGAAAAATATTTGGCGCTTTTAACGTGGTCTTGAATGCTTGCCTTACCACCATTAGCAAATTTCCACATATCCTACAATGCGCTTCATGATCACATTTGCCATTTTGTATATGCATAACCTAAAGATAATTTAGGTAGGCTGTCTGAAGAGTAGCCATTCTATAAGGCTTACCCAATAAGGACTGAAAAAAGTGCTTCCCTGAATGCTTCCTAGAAAAGAGTTTCCTACTGGCAATTCACGCGAATATACTTAAGGATACGTTTATATTATTTGGCATTACAAATAGGATTCAGTAAGCATTTTAAGTCGCAATAAAACATATCTGATCTGAAACTTAAATGTATTTTGTTTTTTGCTGTTGGCCTTTGAATTTTAAATTATGAAACATTTTTATCAAGCAATCAATTGTCGATATTTCGACCTCAATCTTACCAGGCACAATCAATAGTTCCTGAATATGACCTCAGATTGCGGTCGAAATATCGACAATTAAAATATCAATGGAACGAAGATTTGCGTTTTATTTAATTGGTGGGCCTCGAGCTTGTTAAAAATGTTTCATAACTTGAACCTTAAATATTTAAATTTCTTACAGAAGTATGATTTTTAGGCCTTTAGAAGTACGTCCTACAAAAGCCCTTCTGGAAGCTCTTTTTTGAGTAGCGAAAGCAGAAGCTCTTCAATTTGTGCCACTCCGTACAAAAAAGGAAGGAGAAAGGAATAACTTTAAGAAAGGTCTTTTGTAAGAGATTTTAACTCCTGAAATTATCTAGTGAGCAGTATGTGTGACTCCTCAGCCGTGTACCTGTGTACCAACTTGCACTTTTTTTGGCATTTGCCTGAAGATACAAACTTAGATATTAACCAAATAAACTAAACAGAAAGAAGATATTGTTCAACATGTTAGAAAAAATGTTTCATTATCGATTTTCGACTACTAATCCTTTTTTTTCAAAGCAAATATCTGCTAAAAATTAGATGGTTGTCTGTATTGACCTTCATTAAAAATCAGGACAATTTAAGTGTGGACCAGGACACCATGACAATTTGTTTAAATCAGGACAAAACCTGGAAAAGCAGGACGTCTGGCAGCGCTAAGTTAGAGGCCAAACTACATATCTGAATAATCAGTTGTATGAAAGCTCTTTGTTAAAGTGAACCTATTTCGATGATTTTCAGAATTAGTTAAGGAAATATTAATGTGTGCAAAATTTTAGTAAAATAACTTTAAAACTGATGGAGTTATTTATAAAATAGTTAAAATTTAATCAAATTTTCAAGTACTGTTATCTCGAAAACCGCAGCCAATCTGGTAATTGAATTTATAACGTCCCAATTAAGTGAATTCAACTTTCAAGATCTTTGCACAAATTTACAACTTGCACAGCGAAATTTGAACCCAACTTATTTTTTTGTTTTCTATTTCAGCAATCTAAATGTATATTCCTCGTCTAACTTTTGAAGCAGTTGATGAAAATGAATTACACTTATATTTATCGATTTATTAAAAGATTACGAATAGAATAATATATAAAACATAGGTGGTCCACAAATTAAAGAAATACATTTTTTTTTGAAAGTGTACCTGTTTTTTAGATTTGCCCGTATACAAAATAAGTATGTATTACATACATGTATATATTTTTTACAAGTTAGTTTGTACATGCATATGTTCATCGAAGCAATTCAAAGAAAAATGCTGTCAAGAAGAGTCATAGTTCTTAATGGAAAATATGAGAAGGTCAGCAGAGTTGGTGAAACATACCTCTGAGGGTTTCCAGCAATTTCCTCTTTGGCCTGCATTCGCAGAATTACGAAGACATTCAGTTGTGCCAAGAGTTGTGGACTACACATATCCTTGCGCTGACACTAGCAATGTATTTTTGTAGTTGTATTTTCTACTGTTTTTTCTCTCTCCACCAGGATCGGGCTTTAAAAAGCTATCAGCAAAGGAGTTCTATTGTGTGTTTGCCTTTGTTAGTGCNTATGTAGTATGTACGTGTATACTAGACTGATTAAAAAAAAACGATTTTTCGAAATTTGTGTGCGATGCATCAACATCTTTGAAAGCATCAAGAAACAACATGATGCTGAAAATTTGAGAGACATCGGTGGTCGTTTAGGGATTGCTCAACGCGATTTTCAATTATTACCAAGTCGCGCACCTGAAATACATCTTCGTCAAAAATGTCGTCTATTTACCACAAATATTGAGCTAAATGTCTGAAATTTCGCACATACTATTGTTAAAGACCATGAAATCGACTAATGTAAAATTTTGCTATAAAAAATTGTTCATGCTAATAAATAACACTAAGTAACAAAAAAAATAATTTCTCAGTCCTTGGGATGTAATTGTTATTTCCTAGTCTGTTATGCCTTAAAAGTATGGAAACCACCTAATATTCCTCGGAAACTTTGCTTTTGTGACCAGGACAATGTGATTCATTAAAATATGCTAAAATTATGAGAAAAACGTGTTTGAGTCTTTCACTACAGAGAAAATCATACAGAACAGCACATATAAATCAAAACTAAATTTTATTAAAACTTCAGAAAACCAAAAACATAAAAGTAAATCAGAAGCGGGTGGTTTTTCGACATTTGCGTTTAAACTGCGAGTCACTTTCTCTAATCAATCCCCAAATGTAATCTCCCATCATGTTCTCATTGTATTGTCCTTGGTATCGCCGCTCAAATTCCATTATATCCTGATGGAAGCGCTCGCCTTGCTCCTCTGAATATGCTCCCATGTTCTCCTTGAATTTGTCAAGATGTGCATCCAGAATATGGAGTTTGAGAGACATCCTGCAGCCCATTTTGCCGTAGTTCTCCACCAGACTTTCGACCAGCTCCACGTAGTTTGCGGCTTTGTGATTGCCTAGGAATCCCTGTACCACTGACATAAAACTCATCCAAGCAGCTTTCTCAACACGAGTGAGCTTCTTGGGGAATTCCTCAGACTCGAAGATTTTCTTTATTTGTGGTCCAACGAAGATACCGGCTGTAACTTTCGCCTCAGAGAGCTTAGGGAACAAGTCTTGTAGGTACTT